GACGCTGAACTCTGCAAGCCCGGAATCGGGCGCGAGGTGTTGTTTTTAAAGGACTGTGCCGGTTTAATTAAGATAGGGAACATTATTCACCGCTCTGCATGCATGGGAGGAGTAAAGTAGTGTGTAAATGAAGGCGCGGCGCCTCTTAAAATGGGCGCTGCGCCTCAGTTTTTGGCGGCCGGGAAAAAGCCAACCTGGCCCGCCGCGTTTCTCGTAGTCTTCGTTACTGTTATGGGCTCTGAGCATTTTCTCTCCCTTCAATCAGGAGGTGTTACTGAAGAGGGCGGCTGACCTCGTCGAGGCCCTGTACGGGATGCCCCACAACAATCAGGTCGGTATCCGCGCGGCGTTGGACTTAAATAAATGAGAAATTTACCCAGAGCATCACCATAGGGGATTTTCGCTCCCACTATATCTGGAGCGAGATGCGCGCTCCCACCATATAGCCGTGAACCAGGCATCAAAGCGGCCGCGCATGCTTTAAAAAAGGAAACTCAAAACACCTTTGCCTTCCCTCTTTCTGCGCTTCTCAGGAGATCATTCTGAAGAGGGCAGCTGACATCGCCGAGGCCCTGTACAGCGTTCCCCGCAACCACAACCAGATCCCCTCTCTCGCCAACACAGCCTCCCACGGCATGATGGGAGTCAACTCCTTCAGCAGCCAGCTAGCAGTCAACGTGTCTGAGTCACAAGGGAACGACCAAGGTAGGTGATGTGCTGCTCGGCGGCCAACAACGTTGTGGTCACGGGAGCGGCCGAAAGGGGTTGTGTGTGTCTCCGGCAATGCGGACTCTACTTTTTATTTGATTTTTTTTTTTCCCCCACTCTCACTCCACTCATTAAAAAAAAAATAAAATAGACAGAAATCCACATTTTTTGAGTAACTGCTCCGACTCCAGAACAATATAGGCTGTTAAAAGCCCCAATTAAGTTCAAACCTCTGTTCTTATTAAAGTGCCATCTGCAGTGTGAGCTGATATAAAAAAAATATATATATATATATATATTTGATCGCAGCTGTAAATTTCACCGGTAAAAGCACAATGAACAAACCGTCCTTTTTCTATCCCCCCGCCCCCAACCATCCATCCATCCCGTGTCTTGGTTGTGCAGTGGGCTACAGCCGGAACACCAGCAGCGTGTCCCCCCGGGGCTACATCTCCAGCAGCACCCCACAACAGTCGAGCTACAACACCGTCAGCAACAGCATGAACGGCTACGGCAATGCCGGCATGAACCTGGGAGTGCCAAGCTCCCCGGGGTTCCTCAACGGATCCTCTGCCAACTCCCCATATGGAAGTGAGTCGCACTCAACCGCCGCCGCTGATTGAATTCCAGTTCCCACATTGGTTTTCGCCTCAATGAATGATTGGCAACCGGCGTTAGAACATTGCCGCTCCTTCTAACGTGTGACTTTCGCTTTCGCGGCTCGCTCTGAGTGTTTCTCGGCAACACGCGTGGTTCGGATCGAGACGCTTTTTATGGATTTCTATGTGATGCGCGACGCCCGAAACTGGACGGTCGGTATCGTGACAGTTCGATCGTTCAATGGCGAGATCCGACGGGAGCATCGGAAGTCAAATCTGAGGACTTTCAGCCACGAGCCGCGAGCGCTAATCCACAGTCGCCGCTTCGTTGAATCGAGTGAGGAGGCTGAATTTCGTTATCGGGGATTTCACAAAAACGACTTTCCGTCAAAGTGCGTCACGGAAGAAGCGTCTGGATTTTCCTTGTTCACTGAGATTAGCTTTGTGAGTTGCTCCGTTAGCAACCGATGCGCTCGTTTCAATGAGAGTCACGAGGTAAGTATTATCTACGCTCAATCCAGTGACAGTATATTTTGCATGAGTATTTCAAATGTGTTCTGCCAGACCATCTGAGGATAGCGGGAGCCCGCAAGCACTGATCCCGTGCCCCCCCCCCACCCTCTGCCTTCCCGACCCCGAAGTAACACTAGCCCAGCCTTACCTCGACTGCCCTCTCCCTCTCTAAGCACTACTCACAGCACGTTCTCACTCTCACCCGCCCTCCTGCCCTCTCCCCTCCCTGTCGTCTCCGCAGTTAAACAAAAGAGCGCCTTCGCCCCTGTGGTCCGACCCCAGGCCTCCCCACCCCCCTCCTGCACCAGCGCCAACGGCAACGGACTGCAAGGTGAGCCCCCCTCACCCCCTCATCCTTTCCCTACGGACTACTGGTCAGATACTGCTGCTCAGGCCTCTGTCCGGTTTGGTGAGGGATTAATCATTACACATATATGCATTTTTGACAGGCCAATTTACACATCACACACACACACACGCACATACATGCATACACGCACGCACACACTCACACATACACACCCATACACACGCATCCGACTCATCTTGCGTTCCGAACGCGCACGGCGACACGCGCCCCCGCTGCCCTTTGGTAAGGACGATCCCCGCCGACGAAGAAGCTCGCCAGAATTGTTTTCGGTAATTATGTTTATTAGGTTTTGAGTGCGCGCGCGTCACCACCGACGTGATTGGTTTGAAAACAAGCAAAGCCGTCGCGGGCGCGCACGCGCGCCCCAAGATTAATAACATTGGGCTTAATGAAGTGGGAAATTAAAGTTCATCTCGCAACACGTTCATACTTATTAATACATGTTGTGCAGAAATTAATGAGCAATGCCTCGCCATCATCATCTGCGCTGGCAAACTTAAAAGCATTCCAACCATGACTCTACAAATACACTCCCAGCAATATCGTCATATATCATTCCCGGCAGTTCAGTCGGCGCCTAATTGTTCAAATGTGTGAAAAGTGCCGCGTGTATAAACTCTCCGGGTGAGGTGCAGTCGCTAATGACGCCCAGAGCAGATGGTCCGGCTACGATCGCGCCGAAGCTACTGTCGATCGCGGCTAATCTTTCTCAGAGAAGAGCGCGGTGCATCGTCTGATGTCAAATGGGAACGTTCGGGCAGGGAAGGTCTGAGAAACGACGGATTGTGCGATGTGACCGCGCCAGTGGGTTTTGCACCTCTCCGGAGCGTCGGGCCAACTGTTTGCCGTTGCCCCGACGCCCGAGTGGAAATATCACACGAAAGCAAGGCCGGCGTGCTGGGGGCTGAAATGTCAGAGCAGGAGGGAGCTTAACAAAGTCTCACCCACTAGGAGGGCGCGCAGCTGCGGGCAAACACTCGCAGGAACGGCAGGCGGACATACTTGCAACACGCACCCAACCACGCACGCATCCACACACGTAGACGCACTATTTCATTGCATTTTTTTTCCCAGAACTCTTCTAAGCTTGATAGACTAATCACGTCTTTCCTCTTTTTCTCAGCCATGTCCGGCCTCGTCGTCCCACCGATGTAAATGCACTTTCATCATCTCAAGCACCAGTCTACCACTTTCACAGGACACGCCCCCC